TGTGTCACCAATGTTGGGAATTTTCCTGGAGAATGACAAAGGTAGATAAAATTAACATATAATTCAAGCCTAAAAAAAAAAAATCAAGCTTTCCACCCTCTGTTCTTTGAAACATAACGAGGATTCATTTTAGGGAGTTGTCAATTAATCATATTTGGTGAAGAGAAACAGTGGAATTACATGTCCATAAAATATTCCAACCTGCTTTGTTGAGACCAGGGCCCAGAAGACGAGGGATCTGCTTGATAACAGCTTCAGAAGCCAAAAAGGCGTGGTATTTTTTGGCGAGCTTCTTCACCAATTTCTTGTTCTTATTTAGCTTCTTCAAGCCTTCCACGTCCATATAGTCTAGACCAATCTTTTCGGCCTGAAATAGATTTTCATGAAACAACATTAAGACATACCCTAGAACACATAAGAAGAGGAATCTATGGAAGCCCAAAATTAAGGTAAAAACAATGCATTGATTCACACCAAATTATCCCTCTCTAAAACAACCATCAGAAACGCCAGTGTTTGGCTCATACACACCACAAATTAATATGCTGAGTTATAGCCATAGTCTAGCTTTAAACTTGATTGTATAGCAACAAATATGCTAAGTTAAAAAAGTATAGAATAATAAAATAAATTTCTAAAGGCAGACAAGCATTGTTGAAGATATAGCAAGAAAAATATCACAGGGTAACCAGTAACCAGTAACAGAATCATGCACATAGAGCTAGTAAAATTACCTCTTCAACGTGCAAGGCATCACCAAGCATGCAAATCTTCATCTTGGGGCGGGGAATGTGGGGCAACTTCACAGAACCACTGAAACGCTTGTCCTTTTGAGGATCATAGTTCTTCAGCCCGATCTGAAGCTCAATGGTCTCGGTAAACTTCCTCTTTTTCTCATTGCTATCAGTGAAGATAGATGAGATGGCTTCTCTCAATGCTTCACTCTGAAGCTTACTGTAGAAAAATGAGAAGATAAATAAGACCACGCACACAAGGTATAACTAATACGATCACACACTGAAACTAATACGATCACACACTGAAACTAATTGAAGAAGCATGGGAATGCAAGCCTACTTCCTGAAGATATTAACCTATAACATTCTCAAACTGTTCAGATTACTCAAACAGCTGATTAAATCATTCAGAACCCATTACTCCAGACACTAGCAACCATTAAACTTAAAACAGTAGTATCGATAAAAAATATATCAAGGGAATAGCATGACCCAAATGCGAACATGAATCTGAAACCACAACAATTATCCAGAACAAAGAAAATGCCTTAAAAATTACCTCATTTTCGAATCTTCGCCGTCTCAAGGACACTAAACACTTAGTCCTGTGCACAAGCATAGTTGAGAAAAGATAAGACTCTTCAAAGAAAGCAAATAACAATGGAGAAACTGACATAAACATGACCAGTAACCAAGGTAAACTGCAAATCAGACCCCAAAAACAAAAAGAAGAACGGAAAAATAAATTCACAAAATTCAAAAACGCAAGAAGTTGGATTTTCGCAATGCTACAGAGATTATGAAGATGAAGCGGAGGAGAAGTGAAAAACGTAAGGTGGCGACGGCATACCGGAAGAACAAACGAGAGACGGAGGAATTAGGGTTCAGAGAAAGGAGAATTTATATGTGTCTAACACAGAGATGGATCGGTGGAACTGGGCTCACTAATTTCGTTGGATGTCTGAGTAAATGGGCCTAAAAGCCCATTTAATCAATTGCATTTAATTATTTAAGGACTATATAAGAAAATATTTAATTATTTTCTAACCGTACAAAACTCGAATAAAGGCTAAAATGACGAGAGTGAAAAATAAATAAAAATAAAAGCAAAATAATATTAAAGATAAAAAAATTGACAAAATTTAAATTAAAAAAAATATCAACCCACCAAAATTAAATATAAGATTAAATTCAATTATAAGAGGAGAACTAACCGAGAACAAGTTTGGAATACAATTATAAAATAAAACACAAAAGACTCCAAGTAAAAACAAACTGTCGCTCCAAAACGACTCCCTCTATGACCGCACAGTTCTCAAACGCTCCTCCACTTCGATTGGTAGTATGCGAACACCTGAAAAAGAAAGAAGAAAGGGATGAGTATAAAAATATACTCGGTAACCTACTTATAGGCTCTCATCGCATCCATGACTTAGTAGGTGGCCACAGATTTTATTCTAAGCTCTAATTGTATTACTCTTGTTGTGTATAGTCTTGGGTAGCTAGCATAGCCTACGCAGCGATAGCCGATATTTAAAAATGAGGTGTTACCTTCATAGACTTTGTACTAGGTGGGGATAACATGGTGGGTGCTAACCTACTCGTCATACATAGGAGGTTAGATGGCAAACCTATCTCATGAAGTCACCCAAAGTTGGGGGCGCTACCTCCCGTACGTGCCAGCTTTACTGTTTTGTAGAGCCAACTAACCAAGAAGGCTAGCACTCATATTTCAATTATGACCTAATATTAAAACTTTATCCTCCAATCAATGTATATATATCTATAAAGTAAGAAGACAAATTGTGGGAGAAAAAAGAAAGAAAATATGGTGTATGATATAAAAAATAAAAAATAAATAAAAAATCATTTTATAGTTTAATTGAGTGTATTAAGTGATTCGGCTTAACTTTCTTTTGTAGCATGAAAAATTAGGACAACAATCCTCATATTACTGATGCACGATTGAGAGAAGCACAACAACGAACCATGGAAATACTCATTCGAAGAATAGAAGAGTTGACATATCAAATAAGAAGATTGGAGATTCAAAATCAAGCTCGAGAGAGGATTCCACTACCTGCACAACATGCCGATCAATATGAGGGAGACAATTCTAGTCAACACGAGGATAATCCACATGCGATTGGTAGTGCCTTGATGCAAGGGAGAGCCCGTAGAAGAAGGCATCATAATTTTCAACAACGAGTTTCTTATGACGATAGAATTGATCGTAACGTGGGGAGCATCAAATTAAAACTTCCCAAGTTTTATGGTAAAACCGATCCAAATGAGTACTTTAAATGGGAGAAACGGTGGAGTCTGTGTTCAACTGTCATAACTTTAGTGATGAAAAGAAAGTACTCTTATGCATTGCTCAACTCAAACAATATGCTCAAATTTGGTGGGATAAATTGATGTCAAGTAGGAGAATAAATCTTGAAGCACCAATTGATTCATGGTATGAGTTCAAAGAGTCCATGAGGAAGCATCTTGCTCCATAGTATTTTCAACGGGACATGACGCAAAAGCTTCAAGCATTGAAACAAGGACGCAAGTCTGTAGAGGATTATTACAAGGAGATGGATATATTGATGGATCGACTGGATCTCGATGAGGACATGGAGGCTCTCATGGCGGGATTTCTTAATGGGTTAAACACGGAGATTGCAGACAAGGCTGATATACAACCTTATTCTCATATCGAGGAGTTGTTACACATTACAATTAAGACCGAGAGGCAAATCCAACGAAGGTCTCAACGGTATTCTTCTAAAACTTTTTCCAACTCTACTTCTACATGGAAAAAGGATACGAACATCAATTATAAGCATAGAAATCAAGAGATGGATGAGAAGTCTCATGTTAATAGTGATCCATTTTGGATGGAATCCACTGATCTATGGAATACATGTGCAAATTACGTCAAGAGTTGGATTTGTAGGACCAAGTAAGAGAGAGGCAAATTGTACAACCCATTCAAAAAGAGCAAGATTGTCTTATTGTGCGAGATAATATTTCAAATGATGATATTGTTACTGATGATATGGAGACGAGCAAAAACAGTATGCAAGTATATGTCGCTCCATGTCCATTAGAGACAAAAAAGTAAAGAAAGTAAAAAGGAGAAAGAGTGTGAGGAAGAAATATTTGACACATGTATAGAGATTAAAAAGAAAGAGGATTCTGTTACTAGAGTTTGTGAGGAGAACGATGTTTTTTATACGAAAGGACATATACACAAAATTGGAAGGACTTTCTTTCTGATGGGAAAAGTGTACCTATTTTTTCTATTGAATTCTTGCAAGAAATTAAAATGCTTATTGAAAAGCAAGATCAAAGCCCAAGCCAACAGCAAACTCATGGGAAAAACAAGAACAATGGGATGCACAAGAAGCGACACTCTCATCTCATTTTTACATCCATGCATGACCTAAAAGTGAAGATCTCAAGAAGATTAAAACCAAGAAATGCAAATGATTTTAAGTTTTCATTACAAGGGTATCAATGAGATTCGAGGATGAATCCTCTTGAAGAAGGAGAAAATGATACGAAATAAGGTGTCTTAATCTTGCAATGGATGAACTAGATTTAAGAAGGTTTTATTGTATATTTTATGTTTTAGAGAATTGTCTTCAATCATAAGTTACAATTAGTGAGTGGTTATTATAGTATTGATGGTCATCAAAGTTACACCCTGGAATAGTGTTTATTTTAGGTTTGTTGAGAGTTAGTTCTTGTAGGTTAGAGTTATCAATGGGTGGAAATTATTGTTTTAGAATTTGCATGTTAGAGTTAATCAAACCCTTTCAGAGTGATTCGAATCATGAGTTAAAAAACGAGTTTTATTTATTGTTGGTCTTGATCACAAAGGTAATCTGTTCCAAAACTTTTCCTTAGGTTGATTCTATATCACCGAAGTTGTTAGGTACGAAATGATGTACGCATAACTATCGAGTTTAATATGTACATTGGGATGTCCCGGGGTAAAAGCTACATCTAGTACCGGACCACTGATTTGAGCGATACGTGCCAAGTTCTTTTTTTCAAGCGTGTTCCCTTATGAGATTGAAATGACCCTCATGTTTGCCATGATGCTATGAAGTCATTATTTCCTTCGAGCCCATCAAGTGAGTGCTAGCTTGACTAGCTGGCCCAAGGGAGTGTAAGAACCACCGATTTAACGTCATTCGTTCCTTGAAAAATAAAAAAGGGAGTAAAAACATGAATAGCCTACAATTGTATCAATGTCACCAGGAAGAGAAATAATTACCATTCGAAAGAATGTCCAAAATCTTAAGAACGAACATTATAGTTCCAAATAAAGAGCAATTCAACATAGATTCTTAGTCCAACAGATTTTTCATCTTCTACAACTCAAGAAATGACGATTATCCAATAACTAACGCCTCTTTTCTTTCCTTCTTTCTATGAATCTCTTCAAGTGGATGATCCTTCTTCCCTCAATATGATGATAGAAATCAAAACTCAAATGAACTCATTCGCTTTTGACAGCGTTGTAAATACGACGAACGAAAAACAATGAAACGTGGAAACTTACGACTCCCAGCACCAGGAAGAATGCGTAACATAAACAAGCATTATACCCTATGAAGAAGCATAGCTGCAAGAAACCGTTCATATTCGATCTGGCGTAGAAGTATATGCAATATCCAAACATAAAGATGGCCGTTGAGCCCCCGGAGAACACCGATCTGCACGGTTGAAAAGACAGTAATTACATAGAAGAAAATGGATGACAATCTCAATCATGCAAGCTGGACATAATAGATACCTCCACCACCATTGATGATCTTCAACCGACAGCTGAATGTAAGTCAAACCAATGCTCAAGATTGCAGTGAGTACGACAAGGATGATGAATGTGATGAACAAAATGCTTGGAAGAGTGAAAATTTTGAACCCCCACATGCTTGCATACAAGTGATGTAATTCAAGAACAACTGCGCTGAATGACAACAGACCACTAATGAACATTTGACAAGGAAGTTTTCTGAACCAAGCCAAAGGAGGAATCTCTCGCGGGTTTCTCTTGGTGGCGCAAGGCGCTTGAAACTCGGATCTAAATCGATGTCCTATTATCCCTCCGAATGCAAGCAAAGGGAGGCTGATAAAAGTAAATATGATAAGAATCACTATGATGGTGCCAATAGGCAGTGCTGCAGTAGTTCCATTGGATATAGCAACAATATTTAGGATAGAAATTATGAAGCATGATGGCCCCAAATACAGAACCGCTGATAGAATAACACTTTTCTCCTGAAAATAAGAAGACGAAATCAAATGAGAGAAGGAAATGGTAAAAGTGTTAGGAATCACGACTCTCCACAATGATATTATATTGTCCACTTTGAGCATAAGCTCTCGTGGCTTTGCTTTGGGCTTCTCCAAAATGCCTCATACCAACGGAGATGTATTCCTTACTTATAAACCTATGACCGTTCCTTAAATTAGCCAATGTGGACTCTCTCCCAACCATCCTCCACAAAAAGATCACGAGCCACTAAAAAATACGGCAAACAAAAATATAACATGAAGTTAATACACAGGGTGAGGCAAAATTTACCCATCCAATCTCGACAAACTGGCAGTGGAAAGAAGCAGATGTATATCCAGTAACTACTGATGTAAGACAATAGATCACAATAATGGAGGTGATTAATGATCCACGATTGTATGGGTAAAGGATTCCTAGAAACGCCAGAAGAAATAAACTGCAAATCCTGTTGAAAAAATTTATATACAAAATGAGAGATAAAATCGGTAGATTTGATCATGATCACACTTAAACTGATACTAGTGTTAGTCTTCATAAAAAATAATATTTCTGTGTTATGGGTCAAAACACTTTTCTTTATGCAATCTGTTGTACTTGCACCTGACTAACGGACCCTTAACATAAGTTGGAAAGAAAATTTTGGGATTATGGTGTTCCAAATATTCCAACTGGACCTATTATACGATCGAAGGCCAAAGATTCAACAATAATTTATTCTTTATCTACAAAATTGGATAGACTTGGTTCCATCGTTATTTCATGTGTTACAAACTGATTCAATTGAGGAAGAACTGTTTGGAGCTTCAGAAGTGAATATTTGCACGGTTGGAGTAGTGGATGAGATTGCTATAACTAACCCTTAATGAATAATTGGTTAGAAAACTTTATTTATTATTTTAATTCCATAATTTCTTGAGATGGAAAAAGGGTGGGAATTTACTTGTCAATGATTCCATAATTTCTTGGGGTGGAAAAAGGGTGGGAATTTACTTGTCGAAGTGTAGATTGCATTTGAGTCATTCCATCAAGTTCGATGGTGGAGTACTCAATTTAGAAAGGAATTCCAAATCTTGATTCTAGATATTTGATCGCAAGAAGTAATCTAATTTTAGCTTTATCTCTTGGTTGATCTGAATTTTATATAAGGAGATGTTAATTTATTTAATTCAAGGATTCTTGCTTCAAAAAAAAGTTTAGATGGTTGGGCTGAGGATTAGGTCTACACCAAGAAAGATGAACTAGGGCTATAGCAAAACTGTGGATCACTCGGATTAACACGAACAAGGTATGCAGGGAAAAAAATTGTAAATTATGTCATTATGTTGGACAGACTCCTCAAAGATTAGAAAAAAAAAAAAAAAAAATTGAAAATTTGATCTAAGAAACTGATAAACATGGCGTTAGATACCATAGGGTGCTATACAGTTATATAAGCTGGTTAGTCCATCAGGTTGAGAAATTATGTCTAGCAGCTTCCCTGATTCTATTATACTTAAAACAAAGCTCAACCCAAAGATTGCCTCCTCTTCCGCTCTTTTCTCTCTAGGTTTCCCAAAACTTTTCTTTTTCAGGGAGGGAAAAATATATCCAATTCTCGAATGCCTATTCCATTTTTTCACTCTGCTATAATTTTTTCATGAGGTAATTTAATTCTAGCCTTATCTCTTGGTTGATCCGAAATTATAAATCCAATTCACTTCAGACACCAGTTTCCAACTTCCTACTAGGCAACACCTTTTAGTTTTCTATTTATCAATTATTTTTCTCTCTGTCACTGTCTTGTTAAGCTATCTGCAGTAGAGCTTGTAATATGAATTTTTAATCCTTTAATACAAACGTCTGTAGACATGCAGAAAAGGTTCAGCATTTTTCTTTACGTTGTTATCCATTAAATGTTTCCTGTGCAAGTAACACGACGTTAACATCATCACCAAACTATGTCATTGACATAATAAATTTCTGTAGACTCAATAATGACATGGGAAGGCAGCATATATATTTCCCATGTGTCATAGTAAACAACAATGTTGGCAACTCTTTGTTACTGAAAGAAGGACAAGCTGTCTATTGTAACATTAAGCCACATGTTGACGTTTCACCTTTAATAACATAGACGAAACAAAATGTTTTTGAGGAATATTAACTTCCAAATTCTAGGTCATTTATGTTTTTTATTTTTTGGAACTCAAGAACACCGTTATAAAAGTTATTCAAGCAACAGAAAAGATCTTGTTCGAGTAAGGTCGTAGGTCCTTGAGGTTTTCTTTAGAACTATATTCCATTTTCCAGCAGTCACATGTTATACAATTGATTTTGATCAACATGCCATTAATTGAATCTCAAATAAAATAAAGAGAATACAATATCAAACCCATTATATACCCCTTGAAGTGTTCAATACACTCCAAATTGTGTTATCCAACAAATTTAACATATTTTTGTGGCACTATGAGTTCAGCATCGACCCCCTATAAAAGCTAGAGTTTGTTTTTCCTTGTTGCTTTTGTTTTAAAGAGCAATACTTGGGTGAATACTTGGGTGCATCCAAGGCTGCACTCTTTTCTTTTTTCGTTTTTTTTGCAGTCTACCCCAATCATATAGTAGAAAAAACTAAAATGTATTTTTTAAGAAAACTAGACAGGAATTTTCCACGTGTCAAACTATAGTTGGACTGCAAAACATAGTCACAGCCCAGAATGCATGCATGTAGTTGGATTGCAAAATATAGTTGCAGCCCGGAATGCATGCAAGTATTTTTTTTACTTCAAAATGCATTGGTCTAAGGTTGCTTTGGACTGTCAAAAACAGGCAATTAGATTGTAGTGCCCATGATGATAATATGGAAATTTTTCCTTTTCTTATCATGCATAATAAGGAAGCGAGTATTTCTATTGAAGCATATCAATACGTTATGATGAACATAACTTAAAGAAGAATAGTTCAAATTAACTTACATAGTCAGCAGCTGTGTACCGACACCCAAAACAGCACTAAAGAGGGGCAAATTTGGAGGACATCTAAATACATCTCCATGAAGATATTTCCAAACAACCTCTCTTTCATCCTCTTCATCACCACCAGAACACCTAAAACACAAAAAAAAAAAAGGTAAGCTAATTTCCCAAACAAACTTAATGAAAGACTCGAGTAAATTTATTTGCAGGACATTACTTCATCAAATCATTCTTGAGATGGCGCATAAAAAGCAAAGTAAGCAATCCCATCAACAGTACGATTATAGCAACTGAATTAAGGAATGAAAACCAGTGGATTTTCTGACTGATAGGCAGTAGTGAAGCCCTCAAATACTTGTTCATCCTATCTCCATACTGAGCAGAAGTTTCATTCCAAAAAATAGAATAAGTGAACTTAACATTGAGTTCGACATCCTCTGTTATATCAATGACATGATTTGGATCGCTGAAGGCATTAACTTCCACGATTTCGTTCCCATTGAAGGAAGCATCAAATTGAATATGTGTGAAAAGATAATATCTTGGCCCCTGCTTGTTCAGGGTCCAGCTCTGTTCATCAATTTTGCCAATAAAACCCCACACAGGAAGATTATCACAATACATTTGGAAGTAAAAGTCATTCCTGACAGCTTCCCTAAACAGTGAAACTTCAGCACCTTTTAGCTTCTTTTCACACAGAGTCTCCCAAGGTTTATCTTCCCTAAATTTCATCCCATGCAAGGCGCCGGTCAGCCGATCACCATTTAAAACCTCCCCTAAGGTTGCTTTCTTTTGAACTACTGAATCTGCAAGCTAAGGAGAAGACCTTCAAACATATTATTTTGGTATAAAAAAGTTACACCAAATTTTATTCGATATAGGAAGCTCATACAGTTCAAAATTCTGAAGGAGCTAATACAGGAATAAGTATAAATCACGATGCAACTATTGCAATTAACTAGCATGCATTTGAAAAGTGACCCTTAGCTTTGTTGTCCTATATTATCACATAGAGCTAATATCTATTAAAACGTGAAAGTCTTTCAATTAGGCTCCTTCAAAAGGCTAACCTGGACTGCAGAATGGTAATTCATAGTATTGGTAGGTCTCGCTGCAAGAAAATGGGAAACAAAGTAAACAATAAGACTGGAGCAGAAGCAAAATAGAGAAAGAGAGAGAACAAATTCAATTGAAGTCTGGATTTGGCCTCAAATATGTTAAAATGGCATTCTTTCTCCAATAACAAAGTCACAATTTGTAAACTTCGAAAACTATTCCAAGGAAAAACTGCATCAGTAAAGCTACAAGGATCTTGTTGTTGAAGCCGAATCGTCTCCAACAGGAGGGAAATTTATCCGGTCCATGCACAACCTAAAAGAAAAAAAAACTAAGAGATGGACTATGGCAGTAGTGGGGATTTTTGGCTGGAGTGGGAATGGATGAAATCAAGGTTTATGAGAAAGTCAGCGAAGTTTGGTGTTCTACCTTTGCCTAGTCTCGGTCGACAGTGGACATATATTCAATCTTTATTCGGTGGGAAAGAGATTATGACAACTAAAAATATTTTGGAACCATAAGTCATCTTGATTCTCAAGATGATTACCTTTCTATCAGTGCGATGACTTGGTGAAGGGCATCTATGAGAGAAGGTTATCGAACCGGGTTCCGATCGAATAGAGCGTAGTTAACACAGGGAAGAATCGTCTTCTTTCCTCGGGGTATATTGGTTCCAAAAAATGAGTAATATGTTGAAAATGAAGTTCAAATAGTTATTAATAAGACATAACTAAAAGAAGAATATTACTTTTCAATTTCAAAGCATCTCCACATTTCTGTCAATTTCAATGTTCATCTAAAATTTGGTACAATCTACTTTAAACCTATAGACTGATATGTATTCGTTAAGAACTCATGAACGCAACAATCTCCAACGCAGTTCAAGTTTTAGGGATCACTACCAGAGTCACAAAGCTAATAATTAGAAAGAACGTCCAATTAGCAAATGATGGGGATTTGAATGGAGTACCTGGGATTGTTCAGAGGTCCAACCTTGTTGACGAATAACGGAATTGGATCTCCGACAATGTAGCGGTGATTGAGAGGAGAAGCAGTAGAAAGACGACATGAGAAGCGAAGGGAGCCTAAAAGCACCAAAACGATAACGATCTCAAGAAGAGACCGAGACATTGTTGAAGAAGATGAAGCTGACGATCAAGTTTGAAAGATTGCAAGCGAATTGGCGGAAGATGGAGACTCAGAACAATGCTCGACTAGGCATTGACTTCATGATTCTACTCCATGGACTTGGCAGTGATTTTGCAGCAAATGCTAATTCAGAATCACTCGCCCCTAATTATAAAATACTCAGAATTCTGTCGAATTTTGGATGGGGAATTTGCAAGAACAGGTGTTGTGTGATTGGTTTGGTAGAAATTGTTGATTAAACCAACTTCCAATAAGCGGATGGTGTGTATTGACCCTAATCCCAAATTTAATCCCAAATTTAATCCCAAATTCATGAAATTAACAATTCAATTTCTATAACCATCTATCCTTCCATCCTTTCAATATTATTTGTGGTATGAAAAATTTAAACTTATTCCTGTAATCTTGAACTATGTAGTTGACATATAAAAAGATCGTGTTCAAGTAATTACTTAAATTGATACGAAATAAGGTATCTTAATCGTGTAATAGATGATTTAGATTTAAGAATGTTTTATTATAATTTTTTAAGATTTAGATAATTGTCTTAAAATTACAAGTTACGAGCTCTCATTATGGGTGGATGGCTATAAAAGTTAGAACCTTTCAATTAAAACATAAGTTAGGGTCAGTTTTATTTCCAAGGCTATAAATAGTCATTCATATTATTTCAAGGCTATAATAGTCATTCATATTATTGTTTTATATCACATTTTAGAATTAAGAAAACAGAGTTTCTATTTTACTTTTGTTGATAATTAAGCTTTACTTTGCAAATTCTTGTATTTATAACTTGCATGCTAGAGTTATTCTCGAGTGCTATTGATTAAATCTCTTTCTGGAGTGATTCGAATCATAAGTTTAAAAATGAGTTTTCTTCACTCTTACTTTGATCATCAAGGCAATCCCTTCCAAAACTTTCCTTTGAGTTGATTCCATATCATTTGGTATCAGAGCTTTAGGCTAAAGATCGGATATATGTTTCCTTTGCGTTTCTTCTTAATTTGTTTTTTCTTGATTTTTATCTTTTTAGTTTCTAATCGACTTAGAGTTTAAAATCCAATCTCGACTCTATTGAAAATTTTGAGAGGTGAGAATGAGAGCTTCATATGTGTGAAGGACTGCAAGTAGGGTGACCTAAAAATTCCTTTAAGTATATACACATGAGAGAGTGTTGTGAGGTCCTTTGTATTTTCATAACTTATTTTTTACAGCAAAGTTTCACAAATACATTCGAGGACGAATACTATTGAATAATTGAGGAATGATATGAACCAAGAGACATCAGTCATATAATATACTTCAACGAAGATGTGAAGAAAATGCTGTCAAAATTATCAAAAAATGTTTCAATTCATGTCACATCGAAGAGGAATAAAGTTTTATGGTTATAAATTTTGGGTAAATCATAATTTTAAGTTATAGTGTTTATTTAATGTATTTTAAGGCTTATTTACATATAAGTTAATTATGGCCATAAGATATACATAGTGACTAATTATAGTCGTGAAATATAGTTACAACTCTTCGAATGCCATGAAGGTTAAAAGTTGTTATTTTGAGCCTATATAAGGCCATGAATGTTATGTTTGTAGGATGAACTTGAAAAATGTAGTAAAACAATCATTTAGGCTTTTTTTTAGCGAATGACTAAGTTTCTTTGCAATTATATGTAGTTTACGTTGCATGTAGAATCATTCAAGCTAGACATGATCGATCTTGCTTGTGGAGTGATTCGAATCTCAAACAAGTGTTCTTGCATTGAGATATTCGATTGAAAGGTATTCCGAATCTTACTCTCCTTGTAGTGATTTCCATATCATTTGGTATCAGAGCTTTAGACTCAAGGTCGGATATATGCTTCCTTACGTTTATCTCTTTTAATTCTCTTATAATTTTTTTTTCTAGTTTGTATAGAATGTTCATATTCTATCTCAAAACTATATATATATATATATATATATATAATATTTGTTTTTAAAGGGTTAGATATGTATGTTGATCATGTATCTTATCAACATTGTGTTCTTTTAAGATCTTTTAAATCAACTTTCTTTTTGGTACATTGACGATAAAGGAAGACAACCTCTATCAATTTGAATCTGTCTTTTTAAGTTTTTTTTTTTTTTTGTACTTTTCTAAATAAATAAGATGGTCGAATGTTTGAAGGAGACTTTGTGTTGTGAACAATGTAATGTTTTTAGTACCGTGGCTTTATAAAATAAAATGTTTTCACTCTTATTTCATTATAAGACTGCCGTTGTTAAAAATAGATTCTTAAGTTAGACCAAATCTCTTAACTATATTGGTTGGATATAGCATAGATCCATTATTATTGTGAAAGAAGAATTAACATTAGAGGGGACTAATCGAGTGAGTCGTGTCCTTAAATTTATATTTTTCGTCAATGGTGTACATTAGATTGCAATTTTTAGATCAGTCTTGAAAAACATAGCGTTTAGATTAGAAAATTAAGTGACAAGTATTAATCTGTATTATAGGAATTTACATTTAATATCAAATTATCTACCTACTTATCCCGATCAATTTTAGTTTTAGGAAAAATGTTCAGAAAAATTAAGTGACAAGTTTAGACATTTCTCTGCATCACTGTGATATGGCTACATTACCAACTTGTCATAAATTGCTTCTAAGAGTGAAAATTATCCGCACAAATCAACACCGTTCATTTTAGCATTTTTTTCCCCTTACTCAGATGTCTCCTAAGATGTAACCTCATACCTAGAATTTGGACCCGGATTTATAATCCAAATTTGGCACCCGATGACCCTCACAATCCCTTTGCATATGGTCATATTATTTACTTGTTTTGAATTGCCTCTAAGAATGAAAAGTATACCTAAAAATCACATTACCTATTACCTATTACCTATTTTTTGTGGCTCAATCATAAGATTCAAAAGTTAAACGTGTCTAGTTTGGAGCAAAGACAAAGTATGCTATTGGTTTGAAAAATAGTTTGAAATTTCTTCCTATCCTCCACCCATAAAATTTTTCTAACATTGAAATCAATGTATACGTGAAGTCCTTGTTTCCTTTCTGGAAAAGTACTTCGTTGGGTTTGATCAATGCCTAGTTTCTTTGAGATTCAACTGTTTATAGGCGAGTGAGAGAGATATTGCAACACAACCATTAATGAAAAACTTGGTGAAACAATAAACAACATTTAGTTATCAATTACGTTTGGATTAATAGAGGGAGATGGAACCCTAACTTCGGTTAGTTCCATCCAACTTGATTTCTATTCTTCAATTGGCATTATTAAATACATAAAGGTTCCAAATCTAAAATGAAATATCATTGTCTCTCACTCGTTTTCAAGCAATATACATAAAAAAAGAAAAGAAAGCAAGGGCATCATGAGTATGATTAGATCAAGTTTCTTGGTTGCTACAATTTTGATGCTATTATTGTTAGATTTTACCATTGATGCTCAATCTAGTGCCGATATTGTTTTTCTTTTGAAAAGATATGGTAACATAGTGCCTGGTACTGGCATCACGAAGGTAAATATACCGTATGAACAACAATATTATCACTAGTTGAGTTGATCAATCGTTTGCTAATTTTTGTTACTTGTGACACGTAGGCTTTAGCAAATGCATGGAAGGATGCATGCACTTCCAATCATTCTAGTGCGATTGTTATTCCGGGAGGAATATTTAAAGTAAAGGAAGGGATATTTAAAGGACCTTGTAATAGCCCAATTGACTTTCAATTTGGAGGAACATTGCAGGCACCAAAAAGTCTTCACGGAGATAATTGGATTACTTTTGAATATATTGATAGATTGACATTATCATGTGAAGGAGTTTTGATGATCAAAAAAAGGCAGCTTGGAAAAAGAATGATTGCCATAAACGCATAAATTGTGCCCAACTCCCCATTGTAAGCAATATGCCTTCAGTTTTTCTTCTCAATCTCGTGCATCTTGTTGTTTTTAAATGCCTTCTCTAATCTTCCAACATTTATAATTTGGTAAATGTTCTTCATTTTCTAGAGGATAATCTTTAAACATTTAACAAAAGAAAAAAAAAATCATTTAAAGAAGTGAAATTCTTTTTGAGTTTTCAATTTTATTGGGTAATGTTCAAATTTTTGGCTTGATTACTAACTTCACAAAATATTATTTGATTATACAAAATGTTTAGAGTTTGAAGTTCAACTTCATCACCAATTCAATTGTGAAGAGAATAACATCAGTTGATAGTAAGAACTTCCATATCAACGTCCTCGGCTGCAACAAACTCACATTCCATAATATCAATATAACTGCACCAGAAAACAGTCTCAACACTGATGGAATACACATCGGTCGACCAAATAGGATCGCAATCACAATGTCCAAAATTGCAATAGTGACATGTGGGCCAGGACATGGCATAAGCATCGGAAGTCTTTGAAGATTCACTAACGAAGAACCCGTTGAATGTGTCATCGTAAAGAACTGCACGATAATTAACACCACTAATAGTGTCAGGATTAAAACGTGGCCAGCTTTTGCTGCTAGTGGCACCGCCACCGATATGCAGTTTTTGGACATTATAATGGTCAATGGTAGCAACCCTATTCTAATGGACCAAGAGTATTGTCCGTAGAATCAGTGCAATCAGAAGGTATTTGATCGTATTCTCAAAACTTTGATTGGTTTTGTCACTATAACTTTCCCAAATAAACCATTTACACAAATTTGTTGTCTCATTTTGTGTAAGGCCCAATATAAAATAATGTTATAAAAATAAGACCTAGGGTTCTGCCATTGGAGCAAACTAAAACCCTTGGTTAGCCGCCAACCTCTTTAGTTTTTGCAAGAAGCTAGAGGCAAGTCAGCCACAACAAACCCTAAGCCGACTGCCGCACTTCCTTCTTTCTTTGTCATCTTATTCCTTATTCCGACCACCGCCCTCCCTTCTTTATGTGTCATTTTCTTCCTTAAGCCGTTGCCACCCAACGTTCATGTCGTCTCGCCGCCGACTATTTCCCACATCACCTTGTGCCACTCCTCACATCAGAAAACTGCCACCCAGCACCCACATCGTTGCCATGAGTGAACGCCATCGTCACCGCCAGAACTGTCATTAAGTGGATTAAACGCAGCAAAGATACAACACGGTTTTCTCTCGGGATAGATAGAATTGGAACCAACCACTACGTGAAAAACAGGCTCGATCTAAGTCGGAGTGAATCAATAGCAGTAGGAACAGT